GTTTGCCCTCACCCGGGCAGAGGGGCAGGGGGTTTGCCCTCACCCGGGCAGAGGGTCCGGGGGTTCATCCTCACCCGGGCAGAGGGTTGAGGCCCTCACTTCTGCAAAGAGTGAAGGTTTTCAGCCCTGAGCCATGGGTCAGGGGTCTCACCCTCACCTAAGCAGAGGCTCAGGGGTCCCACCCTCACCTGGGCCAAGGGTCAAGTTTGGGGGTTCAGGTCCCACCATGTCTAACAGCCGTGAGGGAGTGTGGGGAGGGGGCAGCAGGTTCGATGGAGCCCCAGCAAGATGCACCTGAAGGATCCCGTCCCAAGGTTAACCAGGCACACACAGCAGTCCCCTTCCATTAATACATTTATTTTCTGCTTCCCAGGCTGGTTTCTGTTGTCCTGGGATCTTCCCTGGATGCACTGGACTCTAGCAAGGCAGGCTCAGCAGCACCACGGCTTCAGGAAACAGCCTCAAGTTATATCAGCAGAGGTTTAATTAGATAGGAGGAAAGATTTCTTCACAGAAAGGGCTGTCAGGCCCTGGCACAAGCTGGCCAGGGCAGTGGTGGAGTCACCATCCCTGGAAGTGCTGAAAAAACGTGTGGATGTGGCACCTGGGGACACGGTTTAGTGGTGAACATGGTGCTAGTGCTGACTTAACTGTTGGATTCCAATCCAAAAGCGCTTTTCCAGCTTTGTTGATTCTGCGATTCAGAGACACTCAGGAAATTGACCCTCTCTTCTCACCTGACAATTTGGTTTCTGATTTAAGTCCTTCACTGTGTTACTGATACGTGTGGAGGAGCCTGTGCCTGTCAGGGTGTGTTGGTCACGATGAGGAATTTTGGGGGGGCAGGACAGGGGTTACTTCACCCCGTACCCCACGATGTGCGGCTCGATGGGCATCCAGGGCATCGCCAAGCCGATGTGCTGTATCTTCAGCTCCGAGAACTTTGCCTCTTCCAGATTCTTCCACAGCTCTCTCGTGAGGCAGCACCCAGCAAAGACGAGTTTCCAAGTCGGGTAACAGACCTGCTGCCAAAAATACCTCCAGCTGGAATGCTCAGCGGCCACGTGCTCCAAGAAATAGAAAGCTCCTCCCTGGGAACACAGAGTCTTCTTACAGTGTGGGGGTCATGCCAAGTGGCTCCCACCACCCCCTCCCTCCCCTTTTCCCTTCCCTCTGTTAGTTGGGATTAATGAAAGAAGGAAATGTCCTGAGATTCAAAATGCCCATTCAGAAAGCACAAAGGACCAACTTATTTCATCCCTCTTTTATTCCAGCAGTAGTTTGTTGTGGTTTTGTTTCAATTAGTTGCTAACATGACTGTTTTTCCCAAAGGAAACTAAAGATAAATGTATAAATCCTGCTCTAACCCATCGGTTTTTTCACAGAGAGCAGGGTTAGGTGAGATATTGGGAAGAAATTCCTCTCTGTGAGGGTGGGCAGGCCCTGGCACAGGGTGCCCAGAGAAGATGTGGGTGCCCCTGGATCCCTGGAAGTGCCCAAGGCCAGGCTGGATGGGGCTTGGAACCACCTGGGATAGTGGGAAGTGTAGAATGAAATTATCTTTAAGGTCCCTCTCAACCCAAACCCTTCCATGGTTCTATGAAAATGCCATTTTGAAGGCTGAAACTCTGTTTTAAAAATACCCCCAACAAACCAGCTGGTTTTAACTTGCAGCTCATTAGGTGTTTAATTAGATTGGTCTGGTCCTATAGGCAGAGCAGTTTATTTAAAAGGAGGCTTTAAGCCTTGCTCAGAGCTTCCCACCCCAGCAAAATCAGCTGAGTGGGGAGGGACAAACACCACATTCTGCTTTAAATGATGGGCTGAGACTGCTGCTAACTTTGTAAGCATTTTTAGTCAGCAGAATGTTGCTCTTAGGATTCTAACTCTAGATCTATCTGCCCAGTACCCCTTGCAGCACTCAGCCATACAGAGCATTGTAGGAACCAACCTGGGTCTGGGTTTAAAGCTCAAACCAACTCTTTTTCACTAGGTTTTGTTTTGTTCTGGGTTTTAAGCTCAAACTAACTCTTTCTCACTTGTTTTTTGGTCAGGGTTTTAAGCTCAAACTAACTCTTTCTCACTTGTTTTTTGGTCTGGGTTTTAAGCTCAAACTAATTCTTTCTTGTTTTTTGGTCTGGGTTTTAAGCTCAAACTAATTCTTGCTTGTTTTTTGTTCTGGGTTTTAAGCTCAAACTAATTCTTTCTTGTTTTTTGTTCTGGGTTTTAAGCTCAAACCAACTCTTTCTCACTTGTTTTTTGGTCTGTTTTAAGTTCAAACCAACTCTTTTTCACTAGGTTTTTTTTTGTTCTGGCTTTTAATCTCAAACCAAATTTCTCCCTTTTTTTTGGTCTTGGTTTTCAGCTCAAACCAAGTTTTTTCACTTGTTTTTAATTTTTTTTTATCTGTTTGTTTTTCCCCTTGTGGCGTGGTACCTCTGGAGCAGATATTAAAGGTAACAAGGGAGGTTTTTCTGCAGGTACTCACCGGCCGGAGCACCCGGAGCACCTCGCTCAGGGTTGTGCTGACGCTGTGCACGGAGCACAGCACCAGCGTGCAAACCACGGCGTCCACGGAGCCGCTGGCCACCTGGCCCAGGTCTTCTCCTGCGGCCACCAGGAACCGCTCGTAGCGGAGGTGCTGGTTCTTCTTCATGTTTTTGGAGAGGCTCTCCTGGAAGTGGGGGTTGATGTCGGTGCAGGTGACTCTGCAGCCCGCTGGGTAGAACTGGAAGTTGGAGCCGCAGCCGGTGCCGATCTCCAGCAGCCTCAGCTCGCCGGAGGGGCCCCTGAAGTCGGGTAGATTACGGAATAGCTCTTCCTTGTGCTTCTTGGATTTCTTGTCGTGAGCCACACAAATCTTCTCTAAGATGAAGGGGAAGAAGACCTTCCTGCAGAAAGGCTCCCACAAGCCCAGGAAGGACAGCAGGTAGATGGGTGAGGCCAGCAGAGCCAGGCAAGCCCGGAGCAGCAGGACGCTCGCTCCAGCCTCTGGCATTTTCAGCGTGGGCAGAGCAGAACTGCTCCTCCTGTGTGTGTGAGAGCTCCTGGAGCTCAGTCAGAGCCGCGTTCGGGTGCTGACCAGATCCTCTCAGAGCACATTCAGCCGCTTGGGCTGCTCTGGTGGACGCTTTTCCCTGGCTGATCTCTCAGTCCGGGCACGGGCGAGGACTGAAGAGTGCAGGTGCAGCCAAGCAGTGACCAGAGTCCAGGGGAGGAGCTGCCAGTTTGTTCCCAAGCCAGCACGAGCTGGGCAGCACAACTTTGTGTGTAACCCCAGGCAAAGTTCTCCAAATGCCCTCGTTCCGTTCTGGTCACGTCTCTTAAAGCAGCCTGTGCTGCCCTGGGAAGCCCAGCCAAGCTCTGGACCTCTGCAGGAATTCGGTTGGGGGTTTATTAATGTTTCAGGATGGAATGGAGTCGATTTTCCAGCTGCTGGGTTTGCTCAGTTTTAAACCTCTGCAGTTCCAGGACACCTTAAATCCCTTGGTGGGCGAGGACGGGCTGCCAGTGATCTTCCAGACTGACCGGAATCATGGACAGAGATAAAACAACTTATTAACTCACGACTTCTGCGTGCAGCACGTGGAGTTTGGGGTTTTATTTGTGTCCAGTCAACACTGAGCACTCCACAAACACCTTCTGGGAGACTCCATCAGCTTTGCACTCAGCCTTGGATCAGCCATGAGCAGGTGGCAGGAGGATCCAAGGTCCCTCAAAACCCTGGAACTGTTCTGCCGGGGGGTGCCTTGCGGTTTTGCTTTCCTGGGAAAGCCACCAGTGTGTCTCCTCCTCCCTCTGGTGGCAATAAAGCAAATTAAACCCAGGAGTAATTAGGCGCTTCGTTAATGACCTCTGTTGTATCATTGTGCCTTCAGCTTGTGCCAGATTGAACAGAATCACAGAATCGTTTAGGTTGGGAAAGACCTCCAAGATCGAGTCCAACCTTTAATTACTCGGTGTTGCACAAAACACAGGCAGAAATGGATTATTTTATTATCATCTGGTTGTATATCTGGTTTTAATTCCTGCTGTGCTGCAGGGAGTCGTGGAAATGGTTAAACTGGCCAAGGAATTGACCCACTCCTGGAATTTTCCTCAAGATCGTTCCTAATGAAACCCCTGTGTTTAAAAGGTGTGACTGAGGTTGGAGGGAGAATAGAAAATTTGAAAAAATGCAGTTTAAACACAGGTGTAACATGTTAGTAGGGATCACTGCACCAAAGGGGAAGGAGATGTGAGGATTTTTGGGATGAGAGAAGGAAAAAGCAGGATCCTTATGAAGCAATTTTAATTGGATTTTATTCCTGAGCAGCTCTGTGCTCCTTACAGAGCCAGCGCAGGGCTCAGCTCCAGAATTCCAGTTCTGCTGCCTGTCCTGGGCAGTTCAGTTTGCTTTAACCCAAGGAGGAGTTTAGATTATTCATTAATTTACTGCTCTGATTACAGAGTGAGAAAAAAAACCCAGTTAATAACTGGAGCTGTAATACTCATCTACTTAACCAGGCAGATAAAGACTTCAAATACTTCAGTATTTCAATATTTATTACTTTGATATTTAAATATAATACTCAGAGAGTGTGAGGCACAGAGTGCCCAGAGAAGCTGGAGCTGCCCCTGGAAGTGTCCAAGGACAGGTTTGGAACACCCTGGGATAGTGGGAAGTGTCCCTGCCATGGCAGGTGGAGGGACAGAGCCACCTTTAAACTCCCTTCCTACCCAAACCATTCCACAATTCTAATATAAATACACTTCAATATATTTAAATACTTAAATATTTTAGTGTCTGACCCAGGGACACTCAGCTTCTCATTGCTGAGGAGATCCCAAGTTTTATAAACATCCAGGAATAACTTTTTCTCGCTGGCGTGTGGGGAAGGAGATTCTATATTCACATTTCTCAGATGAGGAAAATGAAAACACTGGCTCTGAACACGGGATTCCCTCTCACCTCGAGTGGGAAAATGAGCTGGATGGTCCTGAAGCCCATCCAGGGCGTGCAGGGACAGCCGGTGGGAGTGTCACTGCTTTGTGCAGGGCTCGGTGTCTCCCCTGGGATTGTTCTGGGCTCTGGTGGGATCAGTGAGGTCCATCAGGAATTGGTTTGTGCTTTCTTATCCCTACTCACCCCCCCGGTGTTGAGTTATTTATTCCTTGAGTTCCTGGCTCAGGGGTCCCTCCCACAAACAGAACAAACAGCCCTGGGGCAGCAGTGAAGGGTTTCTGTCTCCAGCAGCCCTGGGCTGGCCCAGCTGGGAACCTGGGGGTGCTCCTGAAATTCACCGCAGTGACGGTGAGGGACACAGGGATGGGGATGGACACAGGGATGGATACAGGGATGTGGATGGACACAGGGATGGGGATGGACACAGGGATGGGGATGATGATGATGATGATGATGATGATGATGATGATGATGATGGACACAGGGATGGGGATGGACACAGGGATGGGGATGGACACAGGGATGGGGGTGGTGATGATGATGGACATGGACACAGGGATGGGGATGGGGATGGACACAGGGATGGGGATGGACACAGGGATGGGGATGGACACAGGGATGGGGATGATATTGATGATGATGATGGACACAGGGATGATGATGATGGTGATGATGATGGACACAGATGATGATGATATTTATGATGATGGTGATGATGATATTGATGATGATGGACACAGGGATGATGATGATCATGGGGATGATGATATTGATGATGATGATGATGCTGATGATGATGGGCACAGGGATGGTGATGCTGGTGATGATGATGGTCACAGGGATGATGATGATGATGATGATGATGATGAACACAGAGATGATGATGATGATGATGATGATGATACTGATGATGATGATGATATTGATGATGCTGATGGACACAAGGATGGTGATGATGATGATGATGATGATGATCATGATCATGATCATGATGATGGACACAAGAATGATGATGATGATGCTGATGGACACAAGGATGATGATGATGATGATGATGATGATGGACACAAGGATGATGATGATGATGCTGATGGACACAAGGATGATGATGCTGATGATGATGATATTGTTGATGATGCTGATGGACACAAGGATGATGATGATGATGATGATGCTGATGGACACAAGGATGATGATGATGATGATGATGATGATGATGCTGATGGACACAAGGATGATGATGATGATGGTGATGATGCTGATGGACACAAGGATGGTGATGATGATGATGCTGATGGACACAAGGATGATGATGATGACGGTGGTGATGCTGCCGCTGCCGGAGCAGGCCCG